TACAACACTTGCTGTGATATTTATAGCAATTTGCTATGATATTTGCTATTAAAAACTTGTTTTATCATTGGCACTGTGGCTGCATCTGAATCTACTGCTGTTCCAGCTACTAACTGCGTCTCTTCAATCACTGCCCCATTGCTCAGGCCAAAGTCTGGTGGGGCTTTTACATCCCACCAGAACAGCCTCTTGCCACGGGCACCAGATATAGTTATAACTAAATTTCCATCGTTCTGTTTACCAAAAAAGACTTGGGAGTCAGATGCTGGGGTGAAAACCTGCTAGCTCAATGTGGCTGAGAAGCAGCCAGCTGACCTTGCTCTTTAGCCAGCTGCCCAGCAAGAAAGCATCCTTCCACTGCCTCAAACCAATAAAGACAACCACACTCAAAGTCCATCCCTCTCTGTGACTAGTTGCTGTCAACTAGTTGGTGGCTCCTCCTTCTGACCCAAGGTTGATTTTATTTAATTGATGCAATCTCCAGGTTCACAGTGTGATCAAATATCCCAAATATTTCCCCCTTTTTTGTCCAAATAAAAAGGAAAAGTTTTAACTCTAACACAGTAAAACTATATACAATAAGAACAATTATTAGGTAAAATTACACTCACAATGGCAAGTCCATATGTGCTTGGTAACTTTGGAGAAAGTACTCTATTATCTATCCTATCTTGGTGAGTCCAAAGTTTTGTACCTAAATCACATTCTATCATAACTTGTATTACCAACCTAAAAATATCTTTTTAGACCTTAAAACATTTTCTTGGATAACTTAAACTTTTATCTCTCTCAGCCTCTATAAACTTTATACCTCTTTAGTGAGTTTATTTCTTTTTAATTTGGTAACAAAGAAAACAGTAAAACTATATCTATCTACTCTTCAACCCCATCAGAGACCTGAGAAGGATAAAATATTACCTAAGTAAACTCTTAAGTGCAGAACAAGCAACTTCCAAAACTATAGAAATGACAGAGACAGTCACCCACAATTTCTCTTGCAATGTTGGGGTACCCATCTTCAGCCTACTGGCCTAGAACATCTGACAGATTTTTCTGTGAATGAGAAATTTTGAAGGATTGGCCTACCTAGTATTGGCAAAGGTTGGCAGTTAACTTTCTTTGTATCCTGCTTGTCCAATTTGGACAGCATACTATCAGCAGGTGAGGCAAGGGCAGTATCTTGTACAGTGGCTATCTTTGACACACTTGAAGCAAATTCCATATAGAGGTTCTTTGATGCCGATCATCTTCTTCAAAGTAGATTGGTGCTGCCAGTAGATGTGTCTCACAATCATAAAAAACCTTATGCTACTAAAACATCTTAAATGCCATATTCTGTAGATCTTTTAAGTTTTTGAAGACCACCTATCTATTTAAAATATATCTGGTAGACAGACATGGCAGCAGAGACAAACAGACGCAGGTAGGCCCGCGGAGGCGGCCCGCAGAGGTAGATGGGCCCAGCAGCGGTGGCTGACAGGGACATACAGGCCCAGTTGCAGCCAGCAGAGACATACAGGCCCGGTGGTGGCCCCCAGAGGCAGACAGACCCAGCGGCAGCTAACAGGGACATACAGGTGCGGCGGCGGACCGCAGAGGTAGACAGGCCCAGGGACGGAGACAAGCCGACGCAGCTTGGAACAGGGACGCCCCTAACCCCAACACCTGGAGAAGAAGCTATCTCCATGGGTCAGAACCAGAACGAATCTGAACACTCCGTCTGAGGACAACCCAGGGCCCAGCTGCAGATCCTGTGAAACCCAACAACTTGGAGGTGTTGGTGAGACTACCCTGCTCAGCTGAAACCCATCTGGGAGAGGATTCAGATGCCTACAGTTTAAAGTCTGAAGAAACAAGATCAGCTGAGGAGTTGACAAATGAACAAAACGTGACC